GAATTAAATTCTTCAATTAAAAGATACAGAGAGTGGCCAAATGAACAAAAAGCTCCCATCACCGACAAGAACACACATAGACTTAAAGTGAAGTATGAAAAGCATTCTATGCAATTGGAAACCAAAAGACAGTAGGAGTAGCTACACTTACATCAGCTAAAATGAGTTTTAAGTTAGAAACTATAAAAGGAAAAATTATAAAGGGGTCAATTCAACAAGAAGTTGTCATAATTGTAAACACATATGCACTTAACACTGAAGCACCCAAATATGTAAGCAATTATTATTAGATATAAAAGAGAAATACACAATACAATACATTCTATTCTATTTAGTGATTTGTACGTGTTTAACCATCCTTCATTCCTCGGATGGATCTCACTTGATCATAGCGTATGATGATCTCTTCAATGTGTTGTTGAATTTAGTTTGCTATTATTTTGTTGAGTGTTTTTGCATTTATGTTCAACAAAAATGTTGGAGGGTTGGGTGCTTGGTGACTTCAATACTCCCCTCTCAGCAGTGGATGGATCATTTAGACAACAATGAAATAAACATCAGCTAATAACCACACAGTAAACCAAATAAACATAATAGACTTTTACAGAACATTTAACCCAACAGCTGCAGAATACACATTCTTCTCATCACCACAAGAAACATTATCCAGGAGCGATCATAAGTAAGGCCACAAAACAAGCCTTAACAAATTTAAGAAAATAAAAATATTTTTAAGTCTACTTTTGACTACAATAATATAAAACTAAAAATCAACAAAAGAAGGAAATTTGGAAAGTTACAAATACAAGGAAATTAAATAATATGCTTCTGAATAACTGATTGGTCAACGAAGAAATTTTTTTTTTTTTTTTTGGGAAAAAGGAGAAAAAAAGAGAAAAAAAAAGAGAAAGAAAGAAAGAATGAAAGAGAGAAAGAAAGAGGAAGAGAAAGAGGGAGAGAGAACAGAAGTCTTGCTTTATTGACAAGGCTAGAATGCAGTCTAAAAATGGGTATTGAAAACCTCTTTTATGCCAATAATTGTGCTTAACAATGGAAACAGGAAAGAATAAGGGAAGAAAATAACAAACAAGCAGCCAACCAATATTTCATTTAAAACTGTGAAGTGCTATGCAATTACTGAGGAGTGATTTACTTCCAATTATGTAGTCACTTTTAGAATAGGTGTGATGTGGTACTGATAAGAATGTATGTTTTGTGGATTTGGGGTGGAGAGTTCTATAAATGTTTATTAAGTTTACTTGTTCCAGGTCTGAGTTCAAGTCCTGGGTATCCTTGTTAATTTTCTGTCTCGTTGATCTGTCCAATATTGACAATGTGATGTTAAAGTCTCCCACTATTGTTGTGTGGGAGTCTAAGTCTCTTTACAAGTCATTAAGAACTTGCCTTATGTATCTGGGTGCTCCTGTATTGGGTGTATATATATTTAGGATCATTAGCTCTTCTTGTTGCATTGATCCTTTTACCATTGATCATTTTACCATTACCATAATGTCCTTCTTTGCCTCTTTGGATCTTTGTTGCTTTAAAGTCTATTTTACCAGAGGCAAGAACTGCAACTCCTGCTTTTTATTTATTTATTTATTTATTTTGCTCTCCATTTGGTTGGTAAATCTTCCTCCTTCCCTTTGTTTTGAGTCTTTTTGTATCCTTGCATGTAAGATGGATCTGGATGCAGCATACTGATGGGTTTTGGCTTTTTATCCAATTTGCCTGTCTATGTCTTTTGATTGGGGCATTTAGTCAATTTAAATTTAGGATTAATAATAATATATGTGAGTTTAATACTGCCATTTGATGCTAGCTGGCTGTTTCGCCCATTAGTTGATGTTGATTCTTCATTAAGTTGATGCTCTTTACCTTTTGGTATATTTTTGGAATGGCTGATACTGGTTGTTCCTTTCTATGTGTAGTGCTTCTTTCAGAAGCTCTTGTAAAGCAGGCCTGGTGGTGATGAAATCTCTGAGTACTTGCTTGTTCACAAAAGATTTTATTTTTCCTTCCTTATGAAGCTTAGTTTGGCTGGATATGAAATTCTGGGTTGCAAGTTCTTTCCTTTAAGGATGTTGAATATTGGCCCCCACTCTCTTCTGGTTTGTAGGGTTTCTGCTGAGAGATCTGCTGTGAGTCTGATGGGCTTCCCTTTGTGGGTAACCTGACCTTTTTCTCTGGCTGTCCTTAGCATTTTCTCCTTCATTTAAACCGTGGTGAATCTGACAGTTATGTGCCTTGGGATTGCTCTTCTTGAGGAATATCTTTCTGGTGTTCTCTGTATTACCTGAAGTTGAATATTGTCCTGCCTTGCTAGGTTGGGAAAGTTTTCCTGAAGAATATTTTCGAACTTGGATTCATTCTCTTCATCACATTCAGGTACACCTATGAAATGTAGATTAGGTCTTTTCACATAGTCCCATATTTCTTGGAGACTTTGCTCATTCCTTTTTACCCTTTTTTTTATCTAATCTTGTCTTCTCGTTTTATTTCATTGAGTTGGTCTTCGACCTCTGATATCCTTTCTTCTGCTTGATCAATTTGACTGTTAAAACTTGCGCATACTTTGTGAAGTTCTTGTATTGTGTTTTTCAACTCCATTAATTCACTTATATTCCTCTCTAAATTGTCTATTCTCATTAGCATTTCGTCAAACCTTTTTTCAAGGTTCTTAGTTTCTTTGCATTGGGTTAGAACATGTTCTTTTAGCTCATGGAAGTTTCTTATTATCCGCCTTCTGAAGCCTGATTCTGACAATTCATCACACTCATTCTCCATCAGGCCTTGTTCCCTTGCTGATGGGGAGCTGCGATCCCCTGAAGGAGGAAAGGCATTCTGATTTTGGATGTTTTCAGCCTTTTTGCACTGGTTTCTTCCCATCTTTGTGGATTTATCCACCTGTTGTCTTTGTAATTACTGACTTTCAGATTGGGTCTCTAAGTGGATGCCCAGCTTGTTGGTGATATTATTTCTGTTTGTTTTCCTTCAGCGGACACCACTCCCCCACAGAGCTGGACCTTCCTGGGTTCAGCTGTGCTTGCTGTGAAACTCAACTGTCAGTGTTTCCAGTTGCTGTTTTTTTGTGGGGGTGGGACCAGCCAAGCCTGATCACCTGGCTCTCCACCTCAGAGCCCCCTTTTTTTCTTTTCCTAATTGAACGGTTTATTCTCTCCCAGGTGCCCCAGTTGCAGAAAAGGTGCTGGGATCTATGCGATTTCCCCTGCGATGACAGTGCCGGCTGAAACAGCGCTGCTGAGATTTGTGGCGCTTTTCTGCCCAGGAATCTCCTGGTCTGGCTCCCGGCTTCAGTTCCCTTTTCAATCAGCTGAATGGGTGACTCTGCTTTCCTGGAGCTCCAAACGCCAGCTAAAAGGGCACCCAGATCCGCATACTCCGCACTGAGAACCGCTGCGCCAGGACACAGGCAAAACAGCTGCGCCGGCCAAAAGAGTCGCGCTGGTGACCCATGGGACCCCTCTGCTGGGAATCTCCTGGTCCGTAGGCAACAAAAACTCACCTGGAAGTCTGGTGTCCACTCACTCCCTGCGCCTTCACTGGGAGCTGCAATCCTGAGCTGCTGCTAATCGGCCATCTTGGATCTCTCTCTCGATCAATGAAGAAATTTAAAGGAAAATTTAAAAATTTATGGAGACAAATGAAAATAGAAACACAGTGTACCAAAACTTTTGGGATATTTGGAAAGCAATTTTAAAAAATGTTTATAGCAATAAACACCTGCATCATAAAATAATAAAGATCACAAATAAAAACCGAATTATGCACCTCAAGGAACTAGAAAAATAAGAACAAACTAACCACAAGATTAAGAATGGAAGAAAATACTAAGGATATGAGCAAAAATAAATAAAATAGAGACAGAAAGTGCAAAAAAATCAATGAAACAACGAAGCGGTTTTTTGAAAAACAAAATTGACAACTTTTAGCTAGACCAACTAAGAAGAAAAGAGAAAGACTCTTCAAACACTCAGAGATGAAAAAAGAGACATCACCACTGAAATCACAGAAACATAAAAGAGTCCGAGACCAATTTGAATCATTATATGCCAAGAAAACGGGTGACCTAGAAGAAATGGAAACATTCCTGAACTTGTATAACTCTTCTAAATTGGATAATGAAGAAATAGAAAACCTGAATAGACCAATAACAAGTAAGGACATTGAATCAGTAATAAAATGTCTTCTGTTGGTGGAAAGTTTCTTGCCTGATGGCTTTAGTACTGAATTCTACTGTACATTTAAGGAAGGACCCATACCAATTCTCCTCAAACTACTTAAGAAACTTAGTGAGAAGGGAATACTTCTAGACTCATTCTAAGAGGCCCTCATTATCCTGATACACAAACCAGAAAAGGACAGAACAACCAATAAAAAGTAAGAAAACTACATGCCAATATTATTTTTTGTTTGTTTTACTTTATTATTTTTAATTGTTTTAATTTTTTTAATTTTTAATTTTAGCAAGCAGCCCACTGAACATGGCACTAAACCTCTCTCCTTCCCAGGCAGGATTACTCTGAAAGGCAGCTGTGCTTTTCATTCATCCTCTCTTAGCAAGTGGTGCCTGTTCCATGCTAGAGTTAAGTTTGAGCCCCTCTTTCCACACCCTGTTCCTGGATACACCAGCAAGACCTGGCCTGAATAGAGCTGAGAAACTCGTTTAAAACAGGTAGAAGTGGGCCGGGGCAAGGGGCACTCTGCGAGATGAGGAAGGGAGAAGCACAGAGGGCCCAGGAAAGCATAGGGGGTGAGGGAGCAGCTGGTGTTTCTGTCTCTCTAAATATCTGGGCTTCCTGCTACCCCAACCCTGGAGGGTGGGGTAGGGGGTGAAACTAGATGCAAGGAACTCTGGGGCCCTCTGGCTGTTCAGTCCAACCCTGCCACCCACCCACCCCCCGCCCACCCACCAAAGATGAAAAAAAAAAGAAAAGAAAACCCACAGGGACACAAGCACACCCCTAAAACTCAGAAGACTAATTGGCACACTTCTCATTGATGGAGATCTGGATCTCTTCCTCCTCGTAGTTGTCAAGGTTACTGGCATCCCCAGGGCCTGTGAACTTCGGGATGAAGGGAGCTTCCACCTTCTCATAGATGGCGATCCAGTTGGTTGTGGCGAACCACTTGTGGTTCTTGATGTCGCAGACCCCGTTCCAGAGGTTCCCGAAGCGCTTGGTGAGGTCCACCTGCAGCAGGCTCCGCAGCAGTTCCTTGAGGTGAGAGCTGACATGGGAGGGGAACTGCAGCTTCCCAGAGATGATCTTCTGGCAGATCTGGATCTGCTGGCCGGCATAGAAGGGCAGAAGCCCACGGCCATCTAATAGGTGAGCACCCCCAGGGCCCACCAGTCCACGGCCTTGTAGCCTTTGCCCAGGATGATCTTGGGGGCCAGGTACTCAGGGGTCCCGCACAGGGTCCAAGTGCGGCCCCTCATGCGCTTGGCGAAACTGAAGTCCGTCACCAGCAGGTAGCCTTGCTGGTCGATGAGGAGGTTCTTGGGCTTCAGGTCGCGGTGGATGAGGTCGAGTGAGTGCAGGTACTGGAAGGCCAGGACGATCTGGGCGGCACAGAAACAGGCATGGGGCTCTCTGAACCTTCCGACGCGTCGTAGGTGGGAGAACATCTCCCCACCCGGCACGTGCTCCATCACCAGGTACAGGTTGGAGTTGTCCCTGAAGGAGAACTGGAGTTGGACGAGGATGGATTGCCTGCATGAATTGTTACCTATGAAAAGGTGGTGAACTAGCTGGAAGAGCAAAAGACTCTGACACAACAGAGAAACTACAGAGAGCAGCTGCTGTCCTTAGTGCTGACTGAAAAAATGAGCAAGGGAAAAACAGAAGCTTCAAAGAGAGCCTCTGTAAAGATAAGTCTTAGCCCTCTGGGAGATGGCAGAGATTTTCCACAGCCATATCAGCTGCCACAGAAGTTGCTGGGAGTCACTCACCAGAACCACAAGAACAATGTGCTCTTGTACTGAAGAACACTGATGAGGAAATCAGCTTCACATCAAACTGATCTGCCATTCCTGGGACCTGGATCACCATGCACCCCACAACTTGCTACTGCAAAAAAAAAACAGAAAGAAGCGGGTAACTTATCCCTCCAGTCTTGCAGTCTCCTTTGAGAGACGCTTATTGTCAAAGCATAACAGGGCCTGCTAGAAAAGAAGAAATTTGATCTGTAGGGTCTAGCTTCAGCATCCCAAAAAGGAGGGTGATTTGGGACTGAGAAGCAATAAATTAATAATGAAGATACTAAGGATTTAACATGGTATAACTACACACATGGAACAAAACTAAAAAGAAAAATATAACATATACTAAACAATTTCATGGAAAATTTAAATTTTGAACTGTTGATGAAAGTTTCAAAAATGCAGCTGACCAGTAACTGATACAAGAAGAAATAGAAAACCTAAAGTGTCCTACAATTAATAAAGAATTAATACTTGAAAATCTCCCTGTGAGGGAAATACCAGGACAAGTAAGTTCCATCAACATTAAGAAAGAACCACTCAAATCCTACACAATTTCTTTCAGGTAATAATAACAATAGGTTCATGATAAGTATGTTTATATTTTCAAATTAGTTGGAAAATGATAGAAACTGAAAATGAATGAGGATAGTATGAGAAGTAAAAATTACGGTTTTTTCTCCCTTGACAGCATATGAGCGAATGTTCTAAACAAACTATGGTAGTCCTCTGCTTATCTGTAGTTTCATGTGGTGCAGATTCAGCTACATGCTGCACTGTAAAATAAGATATTGAGAGAGAGAGGCAATATTCACTTAACTTTTATTAAAATTATATTACTTTCATAGTTCTATTTTGTTATTTGTTATTGTTAATATCTTTCTATGCTTACTTTATAAATTAAACTTTATCATAGGTGTTTATGTATAGAAAAAACATAGTATATAAAAGGTTAGGTACTTTCTGCAGTTTCAGGCATCCACTGGGGTCTTGGAATGCACTCCTCATGGATAAGGGAAGACTACTGTGTCAGAAAACTAAATCCATAATAGAAAAAATCTACAATGAAGCCAAGTATACATAAAAAATATAACACAATAATTAAGCATGCTTTATTATTTTATGGAAAATTTACTGTGCAGTAACTAAAATAAAGAGATTATAGCTATAATCTACAAGGGAAGAAGGGCAAGAGGGAGAGAGGAACCATGCAATATAGCTATTACAATAAGAAAAAGACTAGATTTTGGGTTAAATCCTAACTCTGCCACTTATTAGCTATGAGACTAGGAAGTTTACTTCAACTTTCTGAATTTAGGTTGCCTCATACATAAAATTAACATCGATTTTGGAGCACTCTAAGAGGATTAAATGAGATGTTTTTTAAGGTGCTTAGCAGCTAGTAAGTGCTCAATAAATTATAGCTATGCTTCCTATATGTAATAGTCTTTAATCTTTTTATTTATGAACATTGATGGAACACCATTATTTACCAGACTATGCACTAAGCTATACAAATAAATAAAACAGATACAATACTTGCCTTTGTGGCATTTATACTCTAACAATGGAGGAGATGTTAAGCAATCACATAAATGGATATGAATAAATAAATTATAATAATAAGAAAGTAATATGAAAGGTAGAGAAGAAATTTATTTAGATTGAGGGAATCAGATGGGAAGTCTTCTCTGAACAAGTGATAGTCAAGAGATTTCTGAAAGATGCTTTTATATCTCTTTATGTTAAAGTGTCTTACAGGGTGGGAGCAGTGACTCACAACCTCTAATCCCAAAACTTTGGGAGGCTGAGGCAGCAGGAATCAATTGAATCCAGGAGCTTGAGACTAGCATGGGCAATATAGTGAGACACTGGTGGCTTGTACCTGTAGTTCAGCTACTCAGGAGGCTGAGTGGGATAATTATTTAGGCCAGGATGTTGAGGCTGTAGTGAGCTGCGACTGAGCCACTGCACCCCAGCCTGGGTGACACAGCAAAACCCTGTCTTTTGTAAAATTTAAAAATATATATTTAAATAAATAAATAAAGTGTCTTATTCAGCTAGGTCCCTTTCAGCCTTTAAATCTCAGTTTATATGACATTTTCATAGCTTGGAATTCAATATCTACTGAAAGATGTATGTTAATATTGCCATGTGACTATTAAACTCTGTAAATACTTATTAAAATTTTCAGATTTAAATGGCTTATTATTGTGTTTTACACATAGAAGGTGATCAGCATAACCTTCTCAACATTAGATAACAGCATTTAGAAAATATATGCTAGATTTCCTACCAATATATTTCTCAGAACTTATAGGTTTACTTTAAAAAAAAAAAAAAGAAAAAAATCCAGTTATAGAAACTTAGGAAAGCACATTCAGAAAATAGTGATTAAGATATTAAAAAATTAATGAAAGCTGCAAATAAGGCCTTCCTCCATAAATTGCCAATTATAATCATTCAGCCTTTGGTTATATAAGCCTGACTAGAATTACTTTTGCTTTTGGACCCAAATCCCTAGAGTCTTATGTTCTTGGCTGGAGCAGACAAAGTAAAATTATTGTGTGTGAACCTCCTAAATTCTGAATACAGCATTTTCTCACTTACTACTCTCACAGGTCTACAAGGTAATGGGAAAGAAAGAAAAGGAAGGCAGTTTGAACACTGGATTCATTAAAAAGCAAAACATAAAGTTCAAGTTGCATCTTGAACTTAATCAGCTGTAATAGTATTTCCCTTGAGCTATATAAAAGAAATTTCTCTAGATTTAGGCACTAGTATAAGCAGAGATGAAAGAGTGAAGCATTTACTTAGAAACTTCTATTTCCCTTTCCATAATAACTAACCACACTGACAGGGAGCCTAAAGCAAAAGGGAGGTGTTTTAATACCTGCTTAATAAAAATCTCCGACTTAGAACATTGGATTGTACATCAAAAAACTAGTCCTTCCCAAGAGACTTGTACCATCGAGGATGCAGCTCCACACTGCTGAACTTGTTTTTCTTCATGCTGATGCAATGCAGTGCTTCATTATAGGATAGATGAGAGGAAAAAAACAGAAAATATGAAAGTAAGATATTAGAATTGGGCCAAAGATTTAAAACTTAGAAAAAAGACAGCAACATTCTAAACCTTGTAGCTGCCTTCTTCACCCTCCCAAGATACAAAAACCAAGGCAATCAAGCAAGCAAAATACTTCCAGATAAATGAAAATGATATGCATTTGGGTTCCTTACTTACATGCATGGAGGATTTGCCTATTAATTTAGTTATGCTTTGAAAATTGAAGTTCTGTCTCCTCGTGGAGACATTTAACATCAGTGGTTAGTTCTGTCTCTACTTGTGTATATCCTGGGGCTGAAATAGAGTTTAGGAGAGCATTCCACGTCACTTTCTGATTCTGGAACTCCTTGGAGTCTACCATTTCCTTTAACAATAATGATTGGGAAATCATTATTGGCCCCTTAGAAAGCACAATTCAGAATTCATTGGTTTCAATAAATGAGATACTTCTTGTTATCATGGTCACTGAATAGACTTCAAGCTCCCATGGGGGGGAGCTAAATATGTAAGTGTGTGTTTATGGGTGTGTGCATATGTGTGCATGCATATACATGTGTGCAAATGTGTGTGTGAACCTAAACTTGTACTTTGGTTTAGGAAGAAAAGCTTCTCAGTTCCCATGAAAAAATAGGTACTTTTTTTTTGCATATGCACACATAGAAACACACACGTTTAACTTTGAACTTTATCATTCAGGGCAAAGAAGAGGCATGTGAGCTAATGGTAGTGATGATGGCTGCCAGTCACCAAGACTGTTGCCCACCTTCAGCCTTTGGCAACAACATCATCATCATTATTCATAGTCACAACAGAAAATAATTAACATGTCTTGAGTCTCATCCCACAAAGCCAGAGACACTTTAATTAGGACTTTATATATATATATATGTATGATTGATATACATGAAATAACATACAGTGAGGTCCATGCTAAAGCAAGGAATCAGTGAGATACAACTAGAGCTTTATGAATACTGCCAACCACACAAGATGACACAGATTTTGTGGCAAAACATGCAGCTTCTTGCATTCTATCATCACTGGTGCCCTTCACCTTGGCACCCCTACTTCTTGCTGTCCTCCCTATCCTTCTCCCACAACCCTGAAACCAATCTGAAGCTGCCAGTTTCCTCTGTGGTTGATCTTTCATTCCCCATTCGCAGCTGAGACACCTGCAAGGGTCCCAGTCCCATTGTGAACTGTGTGTTTCAGAAAGCCACTGGAGCTCTGACTGCTCGCAGAAGTCACAGAGATGATTGAGTTAATACACATTTAAAAGGCTCTTTTCATGATCTTGTGTATCCTTTCAAGTGCATATAGAAAAAGTCCTGGGAGTTTATTTCTTTATTTAACAAATGTTTATCATATATGTACTATGATGAAGCCATTGGACTATTTCCTGGAGACATAAACTCTATTCATTCTTCTTCATAAACATTCAGCTGGAGCCAATTACTAACATTAAAATCATATCATTCATTGCCACTTTTTCTCTTTTTTTCTGTACTGTATTTCATGACTCTTACACATGAACGTCCTCCTTTTGTTCTTTCTCTGCCTAAGTACAAGCCATTCTTTTTCTCCTCAGCTTTATTGAGGTACAAGTGAAAAATAAAAATTGCCCATATTTAAGGTATGCAATTTGATGTTTTGATATACATATACATTGTAAAATGAATTACCACAATTAAGCTAATTATTATATTAATCATGTCACATTATTATGATATTGTGAAGTGTGATTAGAACACTTAAGAACAACTCTCTTAGCAAATTTTAAGCACACAATATAATATTATTAACCATAGTCACCATGTTGTAGGTTAGATCTCCAGAACCCATTCATCTTGTATAACTGAACCTTTGTCCTCTTTGACCAATGTTCCTAATTTCCCCACTCCCAGCCCCTGGCAACCACTATTCTCCTTTGTGCTTTTATGAATTCAACAAAAGATAACAAGTGTTGGCAAGGATATGAGAAAAAGGAACACACTGTTGGCGGG